CTCTCTCTCTCTCTCTCAAAAATAAATAAACAAAAAAAGGGTTCCAAAAGCATAAATCTGAAAAACACCAGGGTTAACACGATCTTACTCCCTTGGATATTTTCCTCTTAGTGCCGAGGGGTAGGCAGTAGTTTTCTAAGTGAGATTGCCAGGGGACTTTGTATTGATGCACAATGGAATGAACAAGATCATACACAAGTTAGTGCATCAGTGGAAACCAATGCATCCGTATGTCGAATTTGGGGAGTGAAAGGAAAGAGATGAAGGTTGTGTGCTTGTCCATGACAGACGGGATGAAATTAAAGCTTTCCCATATGCTTTCTCATGTAATCTTAAAAATCCTGCAATATAGGAAAACTCAGCTTCTTGCTTGTAGAAATGGGCACAGAAAGGTTAAAAAATGCTTGCCCAAAGCGAAACAACTAGTAAGTGGTGGGGCCAGAATTCTATCCTCTGCCCTACCGCACGGCCCATATTCTTTGTGTTGCCAGAAAGAGAAGCAATCATAAGGGTGTCTGCACCCAACAGCCTCACAAGGGAAACACGGCAGATGTTAACCACATTTCATAAATGTCTTCTATGCATTAGTGTAGAGTACGTTCCGAATCATTACTGCAAATGAGACATTATTAGAAGTAGGGAGTATGAGAACCTGTAAGTCCTAGGGGCAGCCAGGTGGGTGGGCATGGGTTAGTGATTTGGTTCCTAAAAAAACAAACAAAAAAATCACAGCATGAAGAAAGTTTGGCAAGTAGGAGAAAAGTCTTCCTCTTTAAGGGGTAGCTGGGTGGCTCAGTCAGTTGAGTGTCTGACTCTGATCTCTGCTCAGGTCTGGATCTCAGGGTCGTGAGTTCTAGCTCTATGCTGAGTGTGGAGCCTACTTTAAAGAAAAAAAAAGTCTTCCTCTTTAGTAAAAATAGCCCAAGAATTTTGGGATTTACATCATTGGTTTAGATTCAAGGGCGTAGTAAAATGTTTGTGTTAATATCATCATGGGACACCTGGGTGGCTGTTGATTTCGGCTCAGGTCATGATCGCACAGTTGGTGAGATCAAGCCCTGCGTCAGGCTCCGAGCTGACAACGTGGAGCCTACTTGGGATTCTCTCTTTCCCTCTCTCTTCCCCTCCCTCATTTGCATGTTTGTGCATCCTCTCTCTCAAAATAAATAAATAAACATAAAAAAAAAAGACTCAGTGTCCTGGTTTCACTCTTTATCAAGTCCTCCCACCATGGGAAGCTAAATACAGATCAAACCATCACATTATACACCATATATATATATATATATAATTTTTACTTGTCAATTAAGGTGAGAAACAAGAAGCTAAATGCTAGATGGCATAGACTAGATAAATTCAAAGGTACAATTCTGATCTTGTTTGTAAGGTGCTTTGTTACCTTAGTCCTGGGGAGTGGCACCTGCAATTTGCTGATAAACAGACACTGTGCTCACACACAGGTGTTAGTTAGTATTCACTGTACCCCTCCTGTATATAAGGCACTGAGCTGGGGTGGTTGGACTATATAGTTAAATTTAGGTTATAATGCCTGCCATGGAGGTCTACCCAGGGTTAATAATAACAGCTGACATCAAACACTTGCCGTGGGCACCGCCGCACACATTTAGTCCAACAATACTGAGAGGCAAGGCTGTTTGCTTTCCCCATTTTACAGATGAAACCGAGGCACAGAGAGGTTAGGTAACTTGCCCAGGTTTTCCCAGCTAATAAGTGGCAGAGTCAGGCTTTACACTCAGGCCATCTATTTCCAGAGTCCTGGTCTATGATGCCTGGTTAAAATCTCACAGAAATCTGTAGAAGAGACCTTCATTTCCCTGTTTTATAAATGAGAGGCTTCAGGCTCAGATTCAGTGCCAGGAGCAAGGGCACATAGTCTGACTCCAGAGAACTTTTCTTAAGGTATTCTGACTTCTGCATCTGGTAAACACTACATAATTATCAAAAATGGCAGGTATGTTTATGAAATCATGTGAAGTGGTAAAAATATATGCTTTAAAAGCTGTTTCTGGGCCCCTGGGTGGTTCAGTCAGTTGAGCATCTAACTCGGTTTCAGCTCAGGTCATGATCTCACAGTTTCATGAGTTAAAGCCCCGCATCTGGCTCTACACTGGAAGCACAGAGACTGCTTGGGATTCTCTCCCTCTCCCTCTCTCTCTGCCCCTCCCCTGCTCATGCTGTATCTGTCCCTCAAAGTAAATAAACTTTTTAAAAAAGTTTTTTAAAGCTAGGTTTCAAAAACGTGAACAACAACAACAAAAAAAGCTAACTAGTTGTATTGGGATGATGGAATTGTAAAGGTAATTTCATTTTCTTTTGCTTCCTAAAAATGTTTTTTCTTAATGTTTATTTACTTATTTTTGAGAGAGAGAGCACAAATAGGGGAAGGACAGAAAGAGAGAGGGAGACACAGGATCTGAAGCAGATTCCAGCCTCTGAGCTGTCAGCATGGAGCCCAATGCAGGGCTTGAACTCATGACCTGAGCCAAAGTGGGATGCTCAACCGACTGAGCCACCCAGGGACCCCGAAAAGTGTTTTTTTAAAGTAAGTTCTACGCCCAATGTGAGGCTTCAACTCATGACCCCAATATCGAGAGTCAACGGAGCTAGCCAGGTTCCCCTAAAAGTGTTTTTTAAATGAAAAATAAATATGCAAAGGAAGTGCTCAAAAAACAAAAGGAAGGCAGAATGTCAGAAGGACAACAGGAACCAGCCTGAAAGAGCTCCCACTGGTGAAAGCTACAATTTGAACAAAACGAATAGCACAGCATTGGGTTATTACCCAAACTATAAAAGAAATATCCACAAGTTCATGCTGATATAAATACATGACTGAATAAGTACATGCGGGAGAAGAGTCAAATTTCCCTTCATTCAATTTCAAATCATTTATGTGGATACTCCCCCTTCAGGAGGTGGAGTTTATTCCCTTCTCTCCCTTAAGTGTGGCCTGAATTTAGGAATGGGGTATGGAAAGGGAGAAATAGTAACTTTTCAGTGGAGAAAACTGGCAAGTACTAGTTAACATCTA